TGGGATCACGAGGATAGCAATTGCATGGAATAAAAACAGAATTAGATAAACACTAGTACATGATCATGTTGATATGGCGAGAACACTGAATAGAGTCGATCATGCTTACCAGAAGAAGAGAAAATTTGGCACAGCCTCTCGTTGTTCGAACCAAGCATTGGCTATTTACGAGAAAGTAGTACCATCAGACTATCCGGATACAGCTTTAGCTCTACTTATTAACATTGGCTTTAATAATCATCAACAAAAAGAATATATACAAGCCGAAGATTATTATAAACAGGCATTAAGAATAGTGAAGAATACTTATCCTAGTGATCATCCTCAACTTTCTGTTGTATACTACCGCCCGAGTCTATTATATAATTAAGAAATGAAACTGAACCAACTAGCTTTGATATATGCAATAATAACTTATGCTATTTGTGAGAAAAACAAGCCATCCATACACACTGTGATTTTGTACATACTCGAGTTATGCTCGAGAAAATTCGAGGAATTAATTAACAGTAAAATTCTTTCATGCCATTAGCTTAACTGGAGCATTTAAAACGACGGAGTGATATATTAAAAAATATTGAAAATTATAATAAGCATAGTTTTTCTTCATAATTGTGTACGATCGTTCATCAACAAAAGTGAGAGAATAATCATTATATATGATTAATAGCGAATACAGGCAGTATTTGTTGGTTCTGAATGTCGTTGTTTAACTAACTGAATGTGAAGTCGACGGGCAGTGTTATTCATTAATTTTAATAATTCTCGTCAATACATTGTTGCACCGAGAATATTGCCATAAAAATTCAGTGCAGCATTTAATTTCAAGAACAAATAGAGTAAATTGTAAATGAAGTAAAGAAGGTGCGATGGCAGTTCAAATTCGACTATTGCGTAGACAATGTTCCATGGAAAGGTCACCACTAGAAACAGTTGACTATCGGTTTGTCTTGTTCGTCTATGATTGTTGGGTACGATTCGTGTACGCTGTTTTTAGATATTCACGATTGCCAGACTATCGAAAACGAGTAGCAGTATTGTTGGACATAAAGAATAGACGACAAGTGAGAAAGTGATGTAAACTGATTGTAAATACCCGCTGGATACGCACAATGGTGAATGTCATATTACCCAGGAGAAACATTTTGAATGCGGATCTTCATAAATCTTTGAAGATTGCTCAAGTTTCGTCCCAGATCTTTCTAGAACGTGTGCAGATTTATCGAAATCTGTCAAGATTCTGAATGGAAAGCAATGCTGCAGATTTTCCACAAGTTTTGTATCAGAATCTGTGGTGATAAATCATGAGCAGATCTTGTCAAGAATATTTCAAGAATTCTGAAATGATTAATTTAATACGCAATAATCAGAATCTTCGTTAGCAGATTGGGAATTTGAAAGAAAACCCTAAACTTTACTGCCTACTTGAAATTTTAATTTTTCTTCTTGTAAGAACCTTGACTTTAGTCTAGGGTCTGAATGGAGGGAGAAATATAGGAATGAAATTTCTGCTGTTACATTGTTATGTTTATTAAAAGTTTTGCCTATTGAGAAAGTTAATGTTTTTCATATATACTTCGACCGGACGATTTCTTGTCTTCTCTGTTTTTTGCAATCAAATGTATGCCTCTTAATTGTTCATCTTCTCGTCTAATCGAACACAATTTTCTTTATTTCTATTTATAACTTTACTTCAGTTCAGGATAAATACTCGAATTAATCTCAGTGCCTATAATATTTATCAGCCAACCTGCTCGTCATGAATCTAAATATGTCGCTGCTTAAACTGTTACCCGACTGTTAATCATATTTTCGAATCTATCACCATTAGATTTATATCGTTTCATCTGCAACTCAAGATTGAAGCGATTGATTAATGATCCTATTAACCTGAAAATGACTGTTTGTTTAACAGATTTATCTCAAACTGATTTCTACTATTATTGTACAATTCTTTCTCATATAAATCAATTGAAACAATTAACTTTGTCGAACCGTAACATGTATGGTGCGATCAAATATTTTCTGGCTTGAATGGTTCTTGAATAGTTCTTCGGTCTAGGTAAGATTGTAGGGCAAAAATAAAGTTACTCCGCATCTGTATTAGGGAATTTTACTAACAGACTTTTCTTTGAGTCAGCGTGGAATAAGATAAAGCCGAATGTCCACTACAGATATTGAATACTTTGCTTTATATTATAATAGAAAATTAAATTTTAGTCTGTAGATCAATAATATTTGATGCCGTTTTATACTTTTCCTTGCAATCTATGCAACGAATACATGTTTCTGTCAACAACCTGTTAGATTGGTGTGGTCGTAGATGAAAAACATATGCTTATTTCGTATACTTTTTTGTCATTTCTTGTAACACAGCTTCATTGGATGAAAGTTTGAGAATTAAACAAGGATTAAATGGGATTTCATTTTCTGTTTCATTTTTTTCGGCTCTGATAGAATTATCAAGATATTCACATAAACAGTGCTCTCTATAGTATAAAATCGTGGTACCTACAGTTGGGTCGCAAAAAAAACGAAATCCCACTTCACTCTTGTTTAATTTTCAAACTTTCATCCAATGAAGTTGTACTACGAGAAACGGAAAGAGTATACGAAATAAGCATATCTTTTTCATCTGCGGCCACATCAAATGGAGCAAATCTATCTGTTCGTAATGAGACGCGGCCTTTCACTAATATAAAAAATATAAAAAGCTGCATTAACCAATGTACTTAGCAAGTTCTGTGTTTATATATACCCTGGTTTTTTAACAATTTTCCAACGCTTGTGAACCTGTGGCTTCTAACAACAAGATCTTTCATAATAGAAACTTTTATTTTCAAATATTTTCTAGACTAGAATTAAAGAGTAGAAGATTCTTTACAAAATGAGACGTTTTGAAACTCTGTACGATTTATGGTTATTGAGCTACATAACGTCGCTCTATAATCCAATTATATAGAGATTCCACACCTCAGTCTACCATGGTTTGGACGCTACAGGCAATCATCGAGGGTCTACCTATCGGTCAGATCTGACCTCTAGAAACATAAAAATACATAGTACATAGACTATCGAACACGCTGATTATTGTGGCAATGTTTGTTTTGTTGTTCTGATTAAGGAAACTGTAACAGGCGAATTAATTTTTCCACTTTGACCATACTAAAGTTTAAACAAGACTTAATACTAGAAACAATGATTTGCGTTCATTAGTTTTTAAACCAGTTTTATCGAAAGTACGATTTTTAATTTTTTAGTTAGTTAACAATAATCTAATTTTTTGGGCATGAGAATTGTTGAATAAGAATGAAGTGTAAAATACTAATTTGTCGTATGAGAGGTTCGGTCTTAATGCTGATATTGCTCTGTTTATGAATTCTTTTTAATAAAAGGTGTGGAATTTATGCAATTAATAAGTATTCATTTTTTTGATATTTAGAGTTGTGTCAAGAATATATTTTTAGTTTTTCAATTATAAGGATGCGTCACAGTGGACAATCAAGTCAACATTTGGTGAAAAAACGAAAGTGAGATTTTTGAAAATTTGAATTGCTGATTACACTCCGACCAATGGCTGATCGACTGGTAAAAAATGTTTCGTTCTAATGCTTCTGATTGATTGAAAAAAGGAAGTTACAACAAAAGCGGCTATTTTTCCGCTATGGTCTATAGAAAGCCTTGAATTCGTAAATTACTGGAATTGCCAAAATATGAAACTCATACAGTCTAAAAGTAGAGCTTCTAAGCTGTCGATTCGTAAAAAAACTTTGGTTTTTTTTCCACTTTTGGATGAGAATTGGAGAGCATATTCGAAAACCTTTAAAAAGTGTATTTACAGACTTACCTGCCACTTCTACAGCATATGTCCATGTGCCTAGTCAAAATTGCCCACTGTGTGAGTGGATTTATAAAAAGATTTTGAAAATGTTTAAAGATATTATAATAATATTTAACTTTTTAGTAATAAGCGTTATTATCATATTATTATTTTTATTTAGAAATTATTATAGATTTATGTATTTAGAAATTGGCTTAACTATAAAATATGATATCGTTTTGTTGTTTCCTTTATCTTTTGCAGTGAGGATGTGAATTTTATGGTTGAGAAGTAGACATTTATTACCATCAGGAGTAAGAGGATTGCTGATTTTATTTATTCTTGTAATTGAATTATTAGAAATTATTATTATTCATCCTTGAAACTTTAGTAATTTGTTTAGCTACTAATACAAGTTGGGGGTCATGTTTTATTATTAATATTTGGTTATTTTTCTGTAATTTAAAATTTTATATGTGTTTATGGTTCGTGGTTATTAGCTGGTTTGTTTTTGATTGAGTTGTTACTCAGGGCAGTCCAAAAGTAGTGAGTTTTTGAAGGAAAATTCCAGAAAGTAGTTAATTGTAAGTTTTTATTTTATCAAATGTTCGAAGTAGTCGCCTTAATTAATCACACACAATTTCATCCGCTCAATCCATTTATCAAAACTTTTTTTATAATCATCTTGATTCAATGAATTCCTGACCTTGATTACGGCATGATGCAGCGATTCTGAATCGTTTTGATCTGTTAGATTTTGTTTAATCAGGTGAATAGCCAAAACTCACACGGTGCGAGGTTAGGAGAATAAGGTGGCTGTAGCATTATCGTGATACCTTGCGATTCGAGATATGTAGAAACATCTTTATGAACATATAGTCTCGCATTATCGTGATGAAGTTTAACCGCATGCGTATCAGAGGCTGATCTTTTTTTAATTCCATTGACAAGGGGCTACAGCAATTATTAATGTAATAGTGACGATCGACAGATTGTTGCCTTTCCACAAGATGGATTAAAACAGGGCCAGTGGCCTTATAAAATATACAAAACAAGGTTCTTGGAGCGAAGAGACTGCGTCGAATCACAGTTGGTGGTGTCTCTCCGCTTGCTACCCTGGCAGCATTAGACGACTTTCGGCCGATTTGTTTATGATAAAACCATGACTCGTCGCCTGTCACTACGTCACATAATCGCCATGTTCCTTGTTGAAATTTTGCCAAAAATTTTCTTGACATATTCGAACACGTTCAGCTCGCTGAGCATCAGTCAGTCGACCACGAACTTCTTCGATATTTTCGGATGTTGCCTCGGTTACAGATCGACCAGGTCGTGGTTCAGTTTCAATCTGTTCTCCACCTTCACGAAACCATTTTGACCACCATACAACTGTACTGTGAGATAGAGCTTCGCCTCCGAAAACAGACTATAATTCGTCGTGAATAATTTTTGGTTCAATATGAAGTGCGGTACATATTTTAATGTAAAAACGATAATTTTCCTTATCCATCTAAAACATGGATGCATAGCTTCCATCGAACTTTTCTCATATAACAATAGCAAATAGTGAAGGATGATACATTGAAGAAATATAGCGCACTGTTGACACTACAAGTACATATGGGAAGAAATTTTGTTTCAGCTTTCCGTGGAGTAATATAATACTGAAGCCATTACTTTTGGACTGCTCTAACGAGGAATGATCCCCAACTGATAAATCGCTTTTTCAACGAAACCGACTGGACTATAGGTAGTCGACGATGCTGATTCCGAATACCACCATGAATGCTGCCGCTAGGCCTTCAAAGACCGGTAT